AATTTAGGTTACTTATAATATAAATAATTTTCAAATGTAATTTTACAAGACAAAAATTAACAACATATCAATAAGCTAATTAGATTAAAAGTTATCATTAATGAATGAACTTGTTAAAATTATAATTAATTGTTATTAATTGATACTAAACCTAAAAATTAAAATCTAAATTATTAGATGTAAAGTGAGGCATACTATTATTTACTGTTTAAATTAGTCACGAATAACATAGTAACTTGCGCTTTTTTTTAATAGCTTATAAAAGTCATATAACAACAATAATCATGAATATTAAAAAGTTGAATCATTTACATTACATAAAAAAAGGAACATTTAATTTTTATATATTGCAAACTGATTATCAGAGTTTACAATAAACTTTTTTATTTACTTTTACTTTTAAAATTTGAATAAAACACATTTTTTTATAAGCATAATTAAAATTGAATAATAATTGTAATAAATACAATTTTAAAAAGTTTTCATAAAAACTATAAAAAAATACAATATTTGTTATAAGTTATTGTAATTAAAATCCTTCTATACTTCAAAAAGAAATTAACAAAATTAGTTTTTATTCTAATTTTTTAGATTTTTAATTAGCTTAACACCCTTATTCAGATGTAAAAGCGTACATAGGAGTATTTGAATAAAAAAACTAGACAACATTAATATTTCCTAGATTCTTATCAAACACTTTGTATAAAAGTCCATTTTATATGTTTTTGAAGTCAATGAATCTAAAATTTATATCAATTTATAAATTTAAAATTTTGTTGACGACATTAGAGGGAACCAACTTTTTAATCATAGCAATTTAAAATACATTTGTATTTTTTCAATGGATACTTAAATAAAACAGAACACTTTATTACTTCGAATAGTATAAAATATGACCGAAAGATGCAGACTCTTTTTTTAATTGTTTGAAAAATGTCTATATTTAGTAATGAAAAAAAAAGTTGGCGATAAGTAATCAATCTCATCTTTATTACAAAACATAGTGTAAAAACGATGAAATACATATAAATAAATGAATATATAACTATTAGGTAAAATTAATAAGCTGAAAATGTAAAGAACTTAAACTTCTTTTTTATTTTTAATAAAAAAATTTGTTTTAATTAATTACAATGTATAACGATACAGTTTATCAATAACATACAATTCAGGGAGTAAAATTATCAATTGTCGCTAGCCTTATTTTAGACTAATATCCTTAGAAGTGGAAAAGAGTGGACCTTTTTATATTAGTGCTATTTGATAGCCTAATACACAAGCTCTAAGAAAATTGAACATTTCATACATTTTTATTAATATTTTATTTTTTACTATTTTGCGGTTTTTAAGAAAAATATAATAGTATGTCCAGCATACTAAAATTTGTTTCTTTTTATTTATTATTTATCCAATAAGTAATTGTATTAATTTAACGTACGAATTTTAAAATATCTATGTCTCTTATTACTATGTAAAAGTAGTTTTATTGAAGAGTTAAAAAATCAATAGCAAAATTTTATTGTTATAATAGCTTTGAATTTGTTTTGAGCAAATACTTAAATCTAATTTTTGCTTGCAAAGTGTTTTTCGCTGAGGTGTTGAAATTTCGAAATAAAGTGAATGAAAAAAATTCGGTCGTAAAATGTAATAAAGGTCAAAATGTGAAATGATATGATACGATAAATGTGACAAGGGTAAAATATATTCAGAAAATCTATTTTGTATGAATAAAGAGCACGTAGTTTTTCAATTTATAAATGCAATCTTTCTTTTAGTCAGTTACAATATTAAAAAATAAACATACATGTTAATTGTTTATTATAAATAAAAAGTTAAAATATTATTTTCTAGAATGAAGTATACAAACTTTTGCTTTATTTACTTAAAGTCGATGTTATGTAATGTTTAATCAAATATGCAAGGAAGTAAACATTATCATTTAATTATATAATAAAAACTAAATAAATATTTTAATTTACTTCAAATTATAATAGCTCAAAAGAAATATTTCAAAGCAGATAATTTTATAAATATTTTTATATTGAAATTTTTAATTTTGATAGGCACTAATGTGCATTTAATAAAAATATTTAGGAATTATTTTACCAATACCGCTGTTATCTACATCACAAAAATATTTTTAAAGTAAATATTAATATTTTTAAATATATTCAGTTTATATAATCCTAAGTGTTGTTGTGTCATTGTTAACTCCAAAGAGTCTATAATTCCTTTTTGTATACATACAAAAAGAACGGAAATTTATTTCCGGGTTTTTTTTTTTTTTTAATGTATTTCTTTATTCAGAGTAAAACACTATTTGTCTGAAGTAGATACAAAGTAAATCTAATATAGCTATGGACCTGAAATTGTAAATTAAATCAATGTGTATACAGAGTGAACGGTTTATCATAAACCACTTTATTTCTCGCAGAATAAACTCTATAGTAAAAAAAAATTTGATACTTTTCGATTGACCATTAATTTTTTTAATTAGATTATTTTCTAATTTATAAGCTAGCTAATATGTATTTTGATATTTAATAAAAGTGACAACTCTATAAATTATTAGGAATGATTATAAAAAGTAAAATATTAGTATACAAAGTGTTCAGTAAGTAAGAAAACAGGTCAATTGTTATATACAATAAATATCCTTTTCCTTTAAATTATTATTATTATTATAAAGTAAAATGGTTTTAGAATAGCTGATAAGTTAAAAATTAGATATAATTAAAAAAACGACAGCAAAGTATGGATCGTGATATTGTGCGGACGTGGCATAGTTGGCACAAGTATAAATGATATCTGACAAAAATTTAAATTACTATAATAATCTATACATAGTGTATAATTTTCAGAAATTAGTGGATTACTCCAAAAGCAACATCAATTCCTATTTCCTTAATAATAACCTGATTTGTAGTTCTTTGATTTATAAGTTTAATATATGAATAGATACTTAGTAATTTATAGTTTTAATTACAGTAATTAATCTTAGAATGAAATTGATACTCGATATTTTAAATTATATGAAGAAATTATGAAAAACTATAAAAATGTTCTTTATTTCGTTACTTCTATGGCAAACGTCTATAAAAATAGTGTTTGATGCAAAACTTTTCATAAAATAATTTGGTTTAAACTGGTCAACAAGAAATATTAATCAGTGACAAAAATGTACCTGTTTCAAATCAATTTTTGTGCTAATTTTAAATCAAAAATTAGATTTTTTCTATCGATTTTAATTTCTGAGATTATTACTAATTAGTGAAAAACGAATATTTACAAATAAAATAAAAAAATCTAGGTTAAAATGAAATTCAACATCACATCGTTGGACATAACCATAGGTGAAACTAGGCCCGTATTGTTTCTGAATATTAATATATTATAGAATATAACTATACAGAACATAGTTTTGAATATTTCAATTGTATACCAAAATAATATTTTTTGTTTAACTTTGAGGTCCGATAACATTCCAAATAAAGTCATCGACACAATATTCTTTTTAACTTATAGTACGTAACATATGTTTGTAACTAGCAGTATTTCCGGAAAAATTTCAAAAATTAAAGTAAAAGAATTAAATTTGTTTGCAAAAGTTGCTAATAAGAGTAGATACTCTGTAGGCAGGTAAAAGGTCAGATTTTTAAAAATGTCTGCTAAATGAAAGCAAAATACCTAACGTAATTATATAAAAAAAGACACAAAAAAAAACACATCATAGTAAAACCATACCTTCTCAGTATCGTATCTAAGCTAAAAATGATTTATACCGATTTGAAAATCTAAATTTTTAAGGGATTTCCCCCGTATACAGAGATCGAGTGATATTTTTTCAATTTTCAAGGGCAATGTCTTTAACCAGATACATATTGTAATCTTTTGAAGTACAGTTGAAAGAAATCGGTCTGGTGAGAGCTAAAAAAAAATGGCGAGAAACATTTAAAAAGTCTCTTATATTTCAATATTTAAAAAAAAATTTTAATACGTGATTTGAATCACGTATTTGACTCTGTACTCAGTCAAAATAAAGTATTTTTTTTAAGTTGGAAGAGATAGTAAAACATTTTCTTATGCATCTTTGCCCTCATAGAACAATACACTATTCACACCTATACCCTGTAATAATTGGCTGTAAAGTAATAGTACATAATAATTAATTTATTAGAGTTCTGTCACTGGGCAGCCTCCTTCTCGAATCATTGTAAACACCAAGCTGTTCAAATATCAAATTTGCTTATTATACCTTTTGTGTATAGATTGTAAATAAACTTTGTTAATACACAAAAAATTTATTCTTACTCAAGGAACTTACTTAACAACTGATATAAAATTTTGCATTGTTTTTCAACTACCTAAGTTTGTACTGTTTTATTAAAAAAAAAAAATTATTCTTTTATAAAATGAAAAATAAAATATTTTTAGCTTTTAGATAATATAAAAAGCAATCTTTGGACAAATCTCATTCATTTAATTGTAAATTGTTGTTTTATTATAACAGCACAATACATTCAAAGTAAATATCTGTTTATACACACATAATTTTATTTGTTACATTATAGTCATACACCTTTTTTTCTTGCTCGTTTATATTTCCGCCCTTTAATTAAAAATATAAACAAAAGCGGGAGTTTTATTTATATATCACGAACTTTTGGGTTAATACACTTTAATGTTATAACATTTGAACGACGACCATGTGTGTACGAAACACAAGTGGTCCACATTATGCTATTAATTGGCACTTAAGTTTATCATAAAATTTCATAAAACTCTAATTTGACTTATCGAGTTGAAATTTCCCCCTGCCACGATAATACTTCCAAAGCGCTCTAATGGTTCTAGCATATTATTGTGGTCTATTTTAAACATTTCAATATCGTAAATAATTATTTTTAACAAGCTTTTTGGATGAATGTTTCTATTGGAAAAAATTGACTGCAAATAAGTCAAAACTACTTTATTATTATGAATAATCAATTTTTCGTCACCTGTAGCTTCATTATCGACGTCATCTATCTGCGATGTTCCATTCATGTTGGTCATCTCCAATAAGCCGGTAGTATTCTCCACGTCTTCGTCAGTCGCCCCATAGTACTTGTTCAAACTGTGTTTGGATCCTGAAGCTTTCATTACCTTGAAGCGTTCCATGGTGGTCGTTTTGTGATTTTTGACGCACTAAGAATACACAAAAATTACGCAATACACTACTACACTTTTTTTGCGGGATAAATAATAGAAAACCGATATTAATATTATATTAAAATGACATTGCGTAACACTTAATGTTATTATTTTATAGCTCGGTTAATGATATCACTACTTATAAATAAATATTTAAGCATATAGTAAATCATTATACACTTCTTTGTGACGGGTTAACAGAACGAAAACGAGTTGGTCAGAAGAAAGGATTCGATGGGATATCCGGCGAACGAAGGACTAATGTTGGTAGCGATTCGCGCGCGATTTCACCGGCACACGCGGAGCGCTATTATATAACGGGGTACAGGACACGATACTTTTTATGCGCGTCACGACATCTAGCCGTCAATATCATTTTGTCTGACGATCGTGCTATCATCCTGTTGTATACAACATGCAATTTAACAGTCTAATGTACTACTATAGTTATATACAGGACTCTATTATTTATCGACCCCACATAGTATTAATATTGTTATCACCACCGTTAACGTTAGTGGTTGAGGTTAACCTTGTCCTTTGCAAGTGAGGAATGGGGCGACTGATCGACGTATCGTTATATTATGTGACGTATTTGTCTACCCTCAACTAGGGGTCATCAGCTAACTACATTAGGTCACCGATAAAACGTAGAACTATTTTTAGGCCACAACTAAACTAATTTTACGTTATAATATGTTACAGAAATAGATTCGAGGTGTTTACTAGGTGTTTACATTAGTGCATTTTTTTTTACACATAAAATGTATAAATGCATTTAATAATACTATTTTTTATTTTTATTGCTGGCTATTTGATAAAAATACTTTTTCAGAAGGTCGGTATATATTTTTTCTCGATAAAGTTAAGAACGATTATAGAATTATTTATTTTACTGCTATGTCATTTTAATATAACAGATACCTTTCACTATAATTTTTCTAACTAAGAAATTATTTATTGATTTACTGACTCCAAAAAGTCAGAGATATTATATAACTAAAACATTTAAACAAAATGTTAAATATAAGCTCATCGAAAACAATAGATGTTTTAATTATCAATTAGCACGATTAAAGAAATCAAAACGTCTTGTATAAAATTTCTTTCAATTAAACATTTCGATTAAATTTTTATATTTAAAAGTTTCAAAAATATAATTAGTATAATTTTTGGAAAATATATACGGAATAAAAATAACAGTTATTGATTCGTTCCAAAATATGTATGAGATTACCAATAATTGGTAAAATTAAAAAGTATCATAATACTAATAATAGTATCTTAATATTTATAAACATTTCAGTATTTCTATTTGATAATCCATTTCATAGTTATTTATTAAATAATCACATTATTTTTCCAAAATATGTAAAAATAAAACTTATACAATTTTATTTAGTCTTATATAAAAAATGTTAGCTTATCATTATGTGAATTGGTCAATATTTAAATACGGTTTCAGTTTTACAAAACATAATCCTTTTATGATTAAAAGTTCATTAATTAATGGAAAATGTATGTTTGACAAAAAATTAAAATTTTGTTATTTTAATTTTCGGTAATCGTTATCGTTATTAATTTAAATACGGTAAACAAACAAATAACTATGCATTAGATAATCTTTTTTCTTCAAATTATTTTCTTTATTAGATTTTCATAAATTATGTATTTTTTTATAACCACGTTTCAACTTTTGCATTCTAGGTAAAAATAAAGTGTGTAAACTTGTACAGTGTTTTCTTTTTTTTAGTACTAAAAAAATAGCTACAGTAAGCATAATAGATTTTATGTTGAACCGTTAGGAGATCAAATACGTATTACTGTGTCTGTATATCGTTATTTACTGTTCTATTGGCAGAATAATAATAGAGTTTACTATTTGCATACATATTATTGTGCGGCGCATTCGAATGAATTAAAGAATAGATAAATCATACACAATCTGTAGCGCTTTTAAATGGGTTTAGATTTAAAATATATTTAACATTAATTTACATATTTCATGTTTTTTATACTTAGATATACGGTATAGTAAAATATGAATACTTATAAAAATGAAATGACTTTTATGAGGGAAAACTCTAAGATTAAATTAAATTATTGTACTGACTTCAAGTCAATAAAAGCTGTAGACAGAATACTGTTAAGTTTTAATTGTAATGATACTCAAGACAATATCATTATAAATTTACCATTTAATATTTTGATATAAAAATCGTTTGTTTACGTTTTAAAATAAACATGTCGTGTACTAAGTTTTTTTTAATTTCAATAATTTGAAATATTTTTTACCATGAAAAATAATGGATATAATAGTTGAACAACCTAAAATAATTTCACGCCATTAATGTTTCGAGTCGTTAAATATGAAGTTATACGATAATCTGGTTAAAAGTTTAATCAAGAAACATTTTATTTTTATATAAATTTACTAAAAAAAGTATACCTATTAAAGTTTTTTATTAATTTAAAAAAATATTGATAACGTTTTTAGTTTAATGTTGTTCAAATTTCATTTATATATCTCCATAAAGGAAAAAGTTCAACATCAAATTAATGTTAGTTGTATGTAATATTAATATTAAAAATCTAAAATGCAATCAAATAAAAATAAGCTCTCAATATATTGAATACTACACAACAGCATATATACGAGTACGATGATTTACTACGATAATCATAAATTCAAGTTTAAGTAGTTTTGATTTTTTATAATATCCGACCATACGTTACGTAATGTTCAATTGGATATTGTTCAATTTCTTTTGTGTTGTGCGTAAATTCAATAAAAAGTTAAAAAATAATCAAAGTATATTGTAAATAACGAACTGTCAACATTTCATTTTAGTTCATATTCTATTAATAATTACAACTTTAATAAGCCAGAAAAAACTTGTGCCATTTCATCTTTCATAATTGTATTCCTAAAAAAATAATTGACTAAAAATTCAGTTTAATTAATTTAAAAGAACCAATATACATTATTTTAATGTTACTCTTATTGTTGAACATTAAAGTTTTATGGTTGTATTCTATAAATAGAAGGGGTCAATTTAATTGACACGACTTGTGAAATACTTAGAAGTTAATTCTTTGCATTAATAATAAAGTATATTTTATTGAGTTTTGATGTAATATTTGTACATTATATTTTTAAATAAATTTGTTAATTATGTCTTAATGAATTACTATTAATCATAAAAGTTGTTGCAATTTAATTCAAATTATTTAAGGTTTTGTTCACATTCCCTTTTATACTTCATTAAGTATTTTTAACTAAACTGAAAAAATACAAAGAAATGACTCAAAAATGTCTTAGCCCTTATTTTTAGGTCAGTGAACATTAAAAATTGAATTCAGCAGAATTCCAAAGAAAGGCTTTTATTTGTAAGGGATTTCACGTAGTAATAACAATGAATTATTAAAATGTAGTGATTTAAATTTAATACGCCTTAAGATGTATTTTTAGGAAATGATTTAAACTATTGTTGAAATTTCTATACCTACTATGATTTTATATTACAACATAACATTATTTGACATCAGTTATAATATAGAGTAAACTTAAAAAATTTTGTTAAAGATCAAACTACTTTTTATTGTGTTTAAACGAGGGGGTTATAAATTCAAAAATTCAGGGGTCGTCATGGGTGTCAACACCTTCCCAAATCAAATATTTGAATACCAATATCCTTAGATCACAGAAGATTTTTTTTTGTTCTTTTACGTCCATTTTCAATAATATATATTAAATGTATACCGATGAATTTATACACATTTTAAATACATTATTTAATAATCCTGATGTATCTATAGTAATGTCTGAATTTTAGTTATGGATTACCAATGAAAACGTGAAATACAAAATGATAATAAGTACCTCAGTCATACCATAACAATGTAATCAGGATTTATTCCCAAATATTCATATTATGTATCAAATATTTTTTATGGCTCCTGTAAGTGTAACAACAGCAGAGCGATCATGTTCTACTCTCAGACAGCTTAAGACTTTTTTAAATTTGTCTATTTAATATTTATATTAAAAGTTTTTTAACATATTAGCTTCGATGCGAAGCTGAGAAGGTATTGGTTTTACTAAGATGTGTTTTTTT